TTTTTTTTTTTTTTTTTTTTTTTTGAGATGGAGTCTCACTCTGTTGCCCAGGCTGGAGTGCAATGGTGCGATCTCGGCTCACTACAACCTCCACTTCCTGGGTTCAAGCGATTCTCGGGCCTCAGCCTCCAGAGTAGCTGGGATTACAGGCATAAGCTACCATGCCCAGCTGATTTCTGTATTTTTAGTAGAGATGGGGTTTCACCATGTTGGCCAGGTTGGTCTCAAACTCCCAACCTTAGGTGATCCGCCCGCCTCAGCCTCCCAAAGTGCTAGGAGTACAGGTGTGAGCCACTGCGCCCGGCCACAATTCATTTTAAAAGTTTTGAAAGATACAGTAAAGTTAAAGGACTTTTACGGAGAACACACATATACTCACCACCTAGATTCTACAATTAACATTTAGTATATCTGCTTTATCATGTAACTATCAGTTTCTCTACCAGTATACTTTGTTTCTGGGTGCATGTAAAAAAATTGCTGAAATCAGTACACTTCACCTGTAAACATTTCAACATGCATGTTATTAATTAGAGCTCCACATTTATTTTACATGTTTTTTGAGTTAAAAGTACATAAAATGCACAAACTTTAAGTGTATATTTGCTGAGTGTTGACAAAGATGTATACATCTGTAACTCAAACCCCTATCAAAATATATAACATTACCATCATCCCAGAAAGTTCACTCATGTGGCTGGGTGCAGTGGCTCACGCCTGTTATCCTAGCACTTTGGGAGGCTGAAGTGGGCGGATCACGAAGTCAGGAGTTCGAGACCATCCTGGCCAATATGGTGAAACGCCGTCTCTACTAAAAATACAAAAATTAGCTGGGCATGGTGGTACATACCTGTAATCCCAGCTACTTGGGAGGCTGAGGCAGAAGAATCACTTGAACCAGGGAGTCGGAGATTGCAGTGAGCCAAGATCGTGCCACTGTACTCCAGCCTGGCGACAGAATAAGATTCTGTCACAAAAAAAAAAAAAAAAAAGAAAGAAAAGAAAGAAAATTGCCTCATGTTCCTTCCTAGTCAATTCCCATCCCCGCTCCACCAGAGACAACTACTATTCTAATTAGTGTTTCTTGTTATAAAACTTCATATAATTGGAATCATACAGGGTGTATTTTTTTTGTATAAAGCTTCTTTTATTCAGCATAATGTCTTTGAGTCCTGCTTCTTTTTAGACTTTCTTGAGTTCAGAGCTGGGAGACTGCTCCCACATCAATAGAGTAGTTGACAAAGCTCAGAAATAGCTCCTCAACAATGTTACCTGTGTTCATTTGTTACTGTAAGAAATTACTACAAACTGGTGACTGAAAACAACACAAATTTATCACCTTATAGTTCTTCAGGTCTAAAGTCTGAAAATAGGTCTTATGGGACAATCAAGGTGTTGGCAGGGCTACATTCCCTCTCTAGAGCTCTAGGGAGAATCTGTTTCTTGCCTTTTCCAGCTTCTAGAGGCTGCCTACATTCCTTGGCTAGTGGCCCCTCTCCAGCAACTGCATCACTCCCACCTCTGCTTTTGTTGTCACATCTCCTTCTTGGACCTTGACCTTCTTGCCTCCCTTTTATAAGGACCATTGTGATTACACTAGACTCAACAGGATAGTGTTCTTAACTCAAAATCCTTAGTTTAATCACATCTGCAAAGTCCTATTTGCTAATATAAGGTAACACAGTCACAGGTTTTGCAGATTAGGACATGAAATCTTTGGGATCCATTATTCTTAATTCATACATCATAACTGTACATAAATATGGGGTATATGGTGATGTTTCTATACATACGATGTGTACTGGTCAAATCGGGGCATCCATCATCTAAAACATTTATCATTCTTTGTGTTAGGAACATTCAATATCTTATCTTCTAGTTATTTGAAAATATATAGTGTATTATTGTTAACTATAGTCATTCTACAGTGCTGTAAAACTCTAGAACGTATTCCTCCAATATAGCTAATAATTTTGTGTCCATTAACAAATTTTTCCCTATCCCACCCTTGCCCCTACCCTTCCCTTTCTAGCCTCTGGTACCATTTGTTCTGCCTTTTTTTTTTTGAGATGGAGTTTTGCTCTTTGTCCTTGGCTGGAGTGAACTGGCACAATCTCAGCTCACTGCAATCTCCGACACCTGGGTTCAGGCGATTCTTGTGCCTCAGCCGGCTGAGTAGCTGGAATTATAGGCATGTGCCACCACGCCTGGCTAATTTTTGTATTTTTACTAGAGACAGGGTTTCACCATATTGGCCAGGCTGGTCTCGAACTCCTGACCTCAGGTGATCCACCCACCTCAGCCTCCCAAAGTGCTAGGATTACAGGCATTAGCCACCACACCAGGCCTTCACTAACTTTTGACTCCCCAAAACTTAACTACTAATAGTCTACTGTTTACTGGAAGCCTTACCAATAACATAAATAGTGAATTAAAACATATTTTGGGGTTGGGTGCCATGGCGCATGCCTGTAATCCCAGCTAAGGCTGAGGCAGGAGGATTGCTTGAGCTTGGGAGGTGGAGGTTGCAGTGAGCTGAGATCTCACCACTGCACTCCAGCCTGGGTGACAGAGTCAGATCCTGTCCTGAAAAAAAAAAAAAAAAAAAAAATCAGATAGTAAATATTTAAATATATATATTTTTGGGGCCCATACCTGTAATCCCAGCACTTTGGGAGGCTGAGGTAAGAGGATTTCTTGAGCTCAGGAGTTCGAGACCAGCCTGGAAAACAAGGTGAAACCCTGCTTCTACAAAAAATTAAACAATTAGCCAAGCATGGTGGTGTGTACCTGTATTTCCAGCTACTTGGGAGGCTAATGTAGGAGGAAGGCTTGAGTTCAGGAGGTGGAGGTTGCCAAGATGGTTGCCACTGCACTACAGCCTGGGCGACAGAGCCAGACCCTGTCTCCAAAAGAAAAATACAAAAACATATTTTGTATGTCATATACATCATATACTGTACTCTCTCCCCCTCCTCCCCCCGCCTTTTTTTTAGAGATGGGTCTGGCTCTGTCACGAAGGTTGGAGTGCAGTGACATGACCATAGCTCAACTGCAGCCTGAAACTCAGCTCAAGGGATCTTCCTGCCTCAGCCTCCTGAGTAGCTGGGACTACAGGTACATGCCACCACGCCTGGCTTATATAGTGTATTCTCATCATAACGTAAGCTAGAGAAAAGAAAATGTTACTAAGAAAATCATAAGGAAGAGAAAATATATTTACTATTCATTAAGTGGAAATGGATCATCATAAAATTCTTCATCATCACCTTCATGTTGAGCAGGCTGAGGAGGAAGAGGAGGAAGGGTTGGTCTTGCTGTTTCAAGGGTGGCAGACGCAGAAGAGGTGGAGAAGGGGGAAGGGGAGCAGAAGAGGCAGGCACACTGGTACAACTTTATGGAAATACATCATAATTTCTGTCTGATTGTTTTGCTTTTTCATTTCTTTAGACATTTCTATACAGTACCAATCCTTCTTCGACTGTTTACTTTAGTTTCAGTGCCCATATCATAGAAGGCTGTAAGTCATAAAAGAAGTCAAAAGCAGTCTTAAATGATGGAAACCCTCCTGCCAGATTGTCTAATGTCCATTTGTTTTCTGGCACTGCCTCTTTTCCATCTTCCTCATCATCTGACACTGGTTCAGAAGCATTCATCTCTACCAAGCTGTATTCTAATTCCTCTGGTATGGTGTCTATTAGCTCTTCAATTTCTCCAAAATCCATGTCTTGAAACCCTTCACCCTCTGCCTTTTTTTTTTTTCCCCCCATATCCACAGTCTCTTTCGTGATTTCCTTGATTGACTCTTGTCATAATTTCCTATGAAGTAATGCATAATATCTGGGTATAGTTTTCTCTATTAGTCACACTATTGGATATAGTTTTCTCCTGTAGGAATTTGTTTCAGGTCTAATGGCTTTCACAGCTTTTTCTATAACAATGATGGTGTCTTCAATGGTGTAATCCTTCCAGACTTTCATGATGGGGTTCTTTTCCATAGGGTTGACCATCCTTTCCATAGAGTACCATGTGCAATGAGCCTTGAACATCTTTATGACAACCTGATCTATAGGCTGAATTGGAAGTGTTGTGTTTGGGGGTAAGTAGGCCACTTCAGCACCAAAGGTGTTGAACTCATGGGGTTCTGAGTGGCCAAGAGGTATTGTCCAACATCAAAATAACTTTAAAAGGCCGTCCTGGCTGGGTGCGGTGGCTCACACCTGTAATCCCAGCACTTTGGGAGGCCGAGGAGGGTGGATCACCTGAGGTCAGGAGTTCAAGACCAGCCTGGCCAACATGGTGAAACCCTGTCTCTACTAAAAGTACAAAAATTAGCTGGGCATGGTGGCGTGCACCTGTAATCTCAGCTACTCAGGAAGCTGAGGCACGAGAATTGATTGAACCCGGGAGGTGGAGGTTGCAGTGAACCGAGATTGTGCCACTGCACTCTAGCCTGGGCAACAAGAGTGAAACTCCATCTGAAAAGAAAAAAAAAATGCTTCCAGATAGGTGAACATGTGGAGGTTCCTGGAGGGGTAGCATGCACACCCAAGGAGGGCATGGAATCTCTGCTCCCCTTCCCCCATATCTCACCCTTCATCTGTATCCTTTGTGATATCCTTATAATAAACCAGCAAATGAAACACAACCAGAGTTTGATAAAATTTGTCCAAATTGGGCAGAGTCTAAGTGACATGCCAGTGGCTTGTGCATCTCACCATCTGAGGGACCCCACCTGATAATGGTGTTGTGAGGAACACAACAACTAGACTCTCTAGCTGCAGACACAACTAGACTCTCTAGCTGCAGGCAGTGGATGCCTGGGAAGGAAGACCTGTGGCTGCAGACAGAAATCTACTGGCTCTAACCTGCCAGTCGTGGTCTGTATTTCCTTGTGCCTTAATTTCCCTTTAATAAAAAAGGATGGTGGGCCGGGTGCAGTGGTTCACGCCTGTAATCCCAGCATTTTGGGAGGCCGAGGCAGGCAGATCACCTGAGGTCAGGAGTTCGAGACCAACATCATTACCTCAGTTTCAACACAGTTGTCCTTAGTCCTCATGTCACTGCTTTTGGTGCTGCCTGTTGTGGAAGCAGTAGAAGCCAGTGATGCAATCACCCTTTTGTTAGGTGTGGTTCTCAGCATTACAGGCATTTGTGCCTGCTTGCGGGTATACGCACGAAAAAGAAATGGATGAATGTGATTTTGAAAGGCCTACTGAGTCAAACCTCACCTTGAAAACCTTTGTGCTATAGAGGCTAAACTTGAGCTCTGGTGTGTGAAAGGTTCCAAGAATCAGTAAATAAGGGAGTTTCACATTTTTCATTGTTTCCATGAAATGGGAACAAACATACATTTACAAATGGAAAAAAAAATGTTTTCTTTACAACAAATAATGCACAGAAAAATGCAGCCTATAATTTGCTAGTTAGAAAGGAGGTCAAAGAAGTAAAATGGCTGAAATTTACATCAGTAATATTTCATAATCTTAGAATTCTCTCAAAGCATGTGAAATAGGAAGAAGGAAGTTCTTGCCCAGAATCTTAGGAAATCACCACTGTTCGGTTATAATCACTGCCTCCTGAATCGTTGAGGAGTCTTTTCTCCTTTTTTTTTTTTATTAGATTGTTGTTTTGTTGTCTCCCAAGTTAATATTATATTTAAATATCAGAGAGTCAGTCAAAAAGGAAAACTTTTATCTCTGGGGAAAAAACATTTAGAAAAATGTATTCAGTGTATCTAATACTGAAATGCAGAAAAAATTTAATGTTAAAAAAAAACTATAAACATTGACATGGAAGAGATTTAATGTTTTGAAAAAAACTTTATATTAACTGAGCAACATCCTCCTGATGAGAAGTACTATATTAAATATAAACCCATTATATTATTTAAAAAAAAAAAAAGAAACCAAGAGCAGTTTTTTTTTTGTTGTTGTTATTGTTGTTTCTTGAGACAGGGTCTCACTGTAGCCTAGGCTGGAATGCAGTGGCACAGTCACAGCTTACTGCAGCTGCAACCCCCTGGGCTCAGGTGTTTCTCCTTCTCATCTCAGCCTCTTGAGTAACTGGGACTACAGGCACATGCCACCATGCCCAGCTAATTTTTGTATTTTTTTGTACAGATGGGTTTTTGCCCAGGCTGGTCTTGGACTCATGGGCTCAAGTGATCTGTCTACCTCCGCCTCCCAAAGTGGGTAGGATTACAGGTGTCAGCCACTGTGCCCGGCCAATTTTTGTATTTTTATAATGAATGGCAGGAAAAACAACACATCAGCTACTTGGGATGGAACAGTTTTAGTCTTACTTGAAAGTTTGTTTCAGGCCTGGCACTATGGCTCATACCTGTAATCCCAGCACTTTGGGAGGCCGAGGATGGTGGATCATTTGAAGCCAGGAGTTTGAGACCAGCCTGGCCAACATGGCAAAACCCCATCTCTACTAAAAATACAAAAATTAGTAGGCTGTGGTGTTCCCAGCTACTTGGGAGACAGGCATGAGAATTGCTTGAACTCAGGAGGCAGAGGTTGCAGTGAGCCAAGATTGTACCAGTACACTCCAGCATTGGCCACAGAGTAAGACTGTCTAAAAAAAAAAAAAAAAAAACAAACAGGCCAGGCGCGGTGGCTCATGCCTGTAATCCCAGCACTTTAGGAGACTGAGGTAGGTGGATCACAAGGTCAGGAGATCAAGAGCATCCTGGCCAACATGGTGAAACCCTGTCTCTGCTAAAAATACAAAAACTAGCTGGGTGTGGTGGCATGTGCTTATAATCCCAGCTACTCAGGAGGCTGAGGCAAGAGAATCGCTTGAACCAGGGAATTGGAGGTTGCAGTGAGCCGAGAACGCGCTACTGCACTCCAGCCTGGCGACAAAGCGAGACTCAATCTCAAAAAAAAAAAAAAAAAAAGTTTATTTCAATCTGTTTAGTTAACATTTTTATTGTTCAGCTTCATCTTCTAAAGTCTTCTGCTGCATACTTAGTTCAAAGAGAAGTGATTTACAACATAGGATCTGAAGAAACAAAAGTATTTTTGGTTCAAGTTGCTGCTCTGTTTAAAAGGAGAATCCAAATAGCCACTCACCTGTAGTCTTAGTTACTTAGGAGGTGGAGGTGGGAGTGTAGATCACTTGAGCCCAAGAGTTCCAGGCTGCAGTGAGCTTTGATCATGCCACTGCACCCCAACCTGGGTGACAGAGTGAGACTCTGTTTCAAAATAACAATAATAGGCTGGGCATGGTGGCCCACACCTGTAATCCTAGCACTTTGGGAGGCTGAGGTGGGAGGCTCACTTGAGCCCAGGAGTTCCAGACCAGCTTGGGCATCATGGACAGACCCCATCTCTACAAAAACAAAAATTAGTCAGGCATGGTGTTGCACACTTCTAGTTCCAATGACTTGAAAGGCTGAGGTGGGAGGATCACCTAAACCCAGGGAGGTTGAGCCTGCAGTGAGCTGTGATCATACCACTGCACTCCAGCCTGTGTGACAGAGTGAGAACCTGTCTCAATAATAATGATAATTAATAATAATAATAATAATAATAATATAAGGAGAATCAAAAGAAAACATGCAAATGGTTAACAGGTACATGAAAAACTGCTCAACACCACTAATCATCAGGGAAATGCAAATCAGAACTACAAGGAAGCTGGTGTGGTGGCTCACGCCTGTAATCCCAGCAGTTTAGGAGGCTGAGGTGGGCGGATCACCTGAGGTCAGGAGTTTGAGACCAGCCTTCTCAAATGGCAAAACTCTATCTCTACTAAAAATACAAAAATTAGCTGGGCATGGTGGTGCACGCATGTAATCCCAGCTACTCGGGAAGCTGAGGCAGGAGAATCGCTTGAACCCAGGAGGGGGAGGTTGCAGTGAGCTGAGGTTGCGCCACTGCACTCCAGCCTAGGCTGCAGAGCAAGACTCTGACTGAAAAACAAAAAACCACACAATGAGATATTATCTTACCTTAGTTAGAATGGCTGTTATTAAGAAGACAAAACATGACAGGTATTGGCAAGGATGCTAAGCGAAGGCAACTCCTGACTGGGCGCAGTGGCTCACGCCTATAATCCCAGCACTTTGGGAGGCTGAGGTGGGTGGATCACCTGAGGTCGGGAGTTCGAGACCAGCCTAACCAACATGGAGAAACCCCATCTCTACTAAAAATACAAAATTAGCCAGGAGTGGTGGCGCATGACTGTAATCCCAGCTACTTAGGAGGCTAAGGCAGAAGAATCGCTTGAACCCTGGTGGCGGAGTCTGCGGTGAGTCAAGATTGTGCCATTGCAACCTGGGCAACAAGAGTGAAATTCCTTCTCAAAAAAAAAAAAAAAAAAAAAGAGAGAGAGAAGGGAACTCCTACACACTGTTGGTGGGAATGTAAGTTAGTACAACCACTATTGAAAACAATATGGAGATGTCTCAAAAAACCAAAAATAGAACTACCATGTGGGCCGGGTGGTGGCTCACACCTATAATCCCAGCACTTTGGAAGGCCGAGGCTGGTGGATCACCAGAGGTCAGAAGTTCACGATCAGCCTGGCCAACATGGTAAAACCCCGTCTCTACTAAAAATACAAAATTTAGCTGGGCCTGATGGAGGGTGCCTGTAATCCCAGCTACTCAAGAGGCTGAGGCAGGAGAATCACTTGAACCTGGGAGGCAGAGGTTGCAGTGAGCTGAGACCGGGGCATTGCACTCCAACCTGGATAACATAAGTAAAACTCAGCCTCAAAAAAAAAAAAAAACAAAAAACAAAGAACTACCATGTGATCCAGCAATCCCACTACCTGGAGTTTATCCAAAGGAAAAGAAATCAGTATATAAAAAAGATAACCTGCATCTCCATGTTTACTGTACAGCCATGTTTACAATAGCAAATATATGGAATCAACCTAAGTGTTGATCAGTGGACAAATGAATAAAGAAAACATGATACATATACACAGTGGAATTCAGCCATAAAAAAATGAAATCATGTTTACAGCATGGATGGAACTGGAGGTCATTATGTTAAGTGAATAAGCCAGACACAGAAAGGCAAATATCACATGTCCTCACTAACATGTGGGAGCTAGAAAAGCTGATCTCACGAATGTGGAGAGTAGAATGATATCAGAGATTGGAAGGGTGTATGTGGGTGGGAGAGGTGGACAAAGTTGGGTAATGGGTACAAACATACATACACTTAGGAAGAAGGGATAACTTGTAATGTTCAAAAGCAGAGTAGGGTGACTGTAGTTAACAAAGTACTGTAAATTTCCATAGCTAGAAGAGAGGACTTGAAATTTTCCCAACACATAGAAATGTTAAATACTCAAGGTGATTGACACCTTAAATATCCTGACTTGATTACTGTACATTCTATATATGAAGCAAAGCAAAACATCACATGAACTCCATAAATACGTAAAAATTTTGTGTATCAATACATTTATTTATTTTATTTTCCTTTTCTTTTTCTTTTTTTTTTTTTTTTTTGAGACGGAATCTTGCTCTATCACCCAGGCTGGAGTGCAATGGCGCGATCTCGGCTTACTGCAACCTCTGCCTCCCAGGTTCAAGCCATTCTTGTGCCTCAGCCTCCTGAGTAGCTGGGACTACAGGCGTCCGACTCCACACCCAGCTAATTTTTGTATTTTTAGTACAGACAGGGTTTTGCCATGTTGGCCAGGCTGGTCTCGAACTCCTGACCTCAGGTGATCCTCCCACCTTGACCTCCCAAAGTGTTGGGATTACAGGTGTGAAGCACTGTGCCTGGCCCAATTTTTTTTTGTCTTTTTGGGACAGGGTCTCGCTCTGTCGCCCAGGTTGGAGTGCAGTGGCATGATCTTGCTCACTGCAACCTTTGCTTCCTGGGTTTAAGAAATTATTATGCCTCAGCCTCCTGAGTAGCTGGGACTACAGGTGTGCACCACCAGACCTGGTCAATGTTTGTATTTTTAGTAGAGATTGGGTTTCACCATGTTGCCACACTGGTTTCTAACTTCTGGCCTCAATCAGTCTGCCCACCTCAGCCTCCCAAAGTGCTGGATTACAGGTGTGAGCAACTGGGCCGGGTCTAAATTAAATATTTTCAAAATTTAAAAAATACTAATTTCTAAGGGTATATTTTTCCTTATTCAATTTCTACACTATTCACCACGTGAAGTGCAGTGAGGCAGTTCCAGAACTCAAAGTAATAATATAAGCATATTC